AATTGAGTCATGACGCAATTATTTTTGAGGATTTTGGGAATTGAGTCAATAGCAAAATAATTTACGCCACATGTATAAATGGCAGCCAATGCCAATGTAACTAGCAATAAGTTAAATTAGTTGCAGGTGTCATGCTGGTGATTGGGGAACTTAGTAGGGTAATACGTGATGATCAGGGATTCTAATTACCCCCGCAACACGAGCTGGTAATGACAACAGAAGTTTTTCGCTCACCCCTTCGACAATATAGATCTATTGTACAAGGTTAGGTTCTGGTGCCATTAAGAAAACCAATAAGAACTTTACCCATAGAACATTTCCACCATACTTGAAGCATGGGTGTGCCAAATCTTTTTTGTGACTTGAAGGCAAATCTGTATAAAGTAGCTGCAGCATCTTCATGCAAAAAGGTACTCATTTTTCATCACCTCCAACATTACTCCGCTTGCTATACATCAAGCCATATTTAAAAAGCAAGCATGCCAATCCTAATCATGACTTGGAGGCCAACCTGTATAGATTGGCTGCAGTGTCTTCATATGATTAGATATTCATTTAATTCCAGGTAGCTGGACACCATTCATAATTAGATATAGATTTTTAAATTTCCTTTTGTCTATATTTCTTGAATGGTGCTAAAAGAGTATAGGGGTTTGGCCCCATATGGAAGCCTTGCGTTAAACTCTTCCTAACAAAGAAAGACATATGTTGTGCTATTGATTATTGTACCTTATCTTGTAAGTGAAAGTATAATAAATATAATAAAGCATAATAGCCATTTGCTCTTTTCAAAAAAAAAAAATCGAAAAAATTTTTTTAAAAAAAATAATAAAGTTTTAAAAAATATTAAAAAAATATAAAAACAAGTTTTAAAAAAATATATTTTTAAAAGAAACAAATAAACTTTATTACAAATAAATAATAAAACTTTTTTAAAAAATATTATTTTTATATCAATTTTTTTTAAAAATTTATATTTAAAAGTAATTTTCAAAATTTTATCAAATGTTTTAAAAAAAAAAGCATAAGTTTGTTCTTTGTTTTTTTTATTATATAATAAATAAAAATAATATTTTGAATTATTATATAATAATTTTTTATTAAAAATTTTGATTGAATATTAAATTTAAAAATAACAATTCAAATAAATAAATTCAAATTACAGATTTACAAAAATTTTTATAATATTTGAATAAACTTTGATAAAGTTTTATTAAAAAATCAATTTCAAAAATTTATATGCCACATTAATATATTTTTGCAAATAACATATCAAACATTATATTTGAGTTGCATAATTTTACAAGTGACATTTTATCAATTAGAAAAGAAAAAATTTTTATTAAAATGAAAATTATTTAATATAAATAAATCAAGTTTCATAAATAGCTATTAATTAAAAAAAACTTAAAATACCCAATCATTATTGGATGACTAGACTGTATGTCTGTGGAAGCCAATATACTATAATCTTGATCAACCAAATAAATCATCCATCATTCATATCACGATCTATGAACATTCAGCATCTTCAAATCAAAATTAATTCCCTCGTATTTAAGCTTATGTTACATCATGTTTTATCATTCGACATAACATGATCGAGTTGGTCTATCACATTGGAATGTAAAATTAAACTAGATCGAGCATCTTAATCATCCTTCTATGTACAAATAGAAATAAAAGTGTTGTTTATTGTTTGAAAGTTTGGTTTGACTTTCAAATTCTTTCAAATCTTGAATTAGTCACATTAATTATTACATACTGTAGATATTACATTGCTCTATTAAAGAAAATTTTTTAAATGTCCATATTATACAGTATTAATGAAGAAGTTATTTGTGTATCATTTCCATATATCGAACCCAAGAATATAAAGCGGAACCAAGGAGGGCAAGAAATATACCAGTACCGTTCTAAATATCAAATTAAAAAACGTGTTAAGACGTAAATTTATATAAATTATTGAAGCGATCAGTTGACTGATTAAATGCTCACCATGAATGATATTTCGTTTTGGAAAAACCAGGCGGCTAAAGCGGTCTGGAAACAAGCTTTTGCCGTTCCTGATATGGTATTTGTTAAAGGAGTTGTGAATTTGATCTGCAAAAACATTGCGATATTTATGATGAAACCAGTGATTCCAGTAAAAATCATCAAAATCCAAAAGCTCATCTCTCCCAAAAAGTAAACTTTTGCAATCTCTTGTAATTCGCCAGCAAACAGTACAAGGGGAAAAAGTAATATTATAGAAAGACTTGTGTTGTAATGAAGAAGGCGCCTAAAACAGCAAGTATAGAATGATTAGTAAATGAATTTATACCCAATTCTCCAGATGGCATCGAATTTTTTAAAGAGTTTTTACCATTGGTTATTGTCGACATAAATCAGTGTCTTTTTGACGTAAATGCCATACAAAGCAACGAACATACTTGAAGCCACACCATAGATTATTCCTTCCCAAGAGAAGTTTATTTCACCATATGATCCTACAACGAAACCGAGGAATACAATTCCACAACAAATCAATGCTGAAAATGATGTTTTAAATCCAAGTAAAACATAAGTAAATGCAATGTTGAAAATAATTGTGAGGGATCGAGCGACCTAAACAAAGTTATAAAAATTTAGAATAATCGTTAAATGATATTTCTCATGATCAAAGATTTAATGATCGATTAATGCAATTAACCTGATAGAAAGTAACTTCCACATATTGCAAGCACATGTTGTTAAAAGTCAGCATCATAACGTACATAAAAGTCAAGGGCGCTATCTTGCGTGCAACTTCCATATCAAGTTCGTACGGAGGAATAATAGAAAATGATTGAAATCTATTCAATCAAAATCGAAGTCAACAATTAATAATGTTTAAGATATCTCGGTACACATCGAGTATAAAAAAGTACCTTTGGCCTAATGTTCCCCATACCAATAAGATGAATAAGGCAACAACCAGTTGAAACCAGGTAACGAACAGAGGAAACGGAAATTTGTATTCGGAACTACTCAGAATATACTTGTTTAAGAATACAGCCGATAGAGAAGCAACCCAATAAAAGGCTACTACTAGGAAAATGCGAACAACAGAATTCTGTTTTTGGACATGTGCATAGGCAGATGCTGAGGCAATGGGTGGAGGAAGAAATGGTTTTTCAATCGATTTTTCGTCAGGGGAAACCATTTTTTTTATTATAATTATTTTTTCAGGTTAGAGAGTCGCTTTTATAGAAATCATGTACGTATCTATGATCTATTCCGCGTATTCCGTTCATATACCGATTATCATATATTATATATATTTAGCTTTTTTAAAAATATTTTGAGCTTTCCATATTAGGAAACCGGATTTTGATTGCTATTCTGGATGTCGATTTTTCTTACGTATCTTGGATAGGCGTATCATGTTAAATATGAAGTGCATAAATATATGAAAGGATCATAGTGTCCATTCACCTTTTAAGTTCTGCATTCAATTAGAAAGTGGAACGTTTTATATAATTCCGAAGTTTGAGAAAATATTTCAAAACCCAACTAGATTTATTATGACATAAATTGTATCGGGTGTTGAAAAATTTAACTTTATTTCTTTACCTCCTGAGAAGTGATGACAATGTGGGACCTTGGTGCTGCATCCAGATTGTAACCAATTAGTATGGTTTTTTTCTAATATGGATAATTATTTTCGAAGGTGGACAAGGATTTTTTGAACCCTGTACTATGATCCTAAAATTTGAATTATACACGTATTATTTAAAAATAGCAAGTGAAAAATTACAATCAACATTTGTCTCCTTCAAAGATAATTGCCCAAATAAATAAAATATTTAATTTAGTTATGTGGCAAACCATTAAATATATAAACTAAATCAACTTTACCTCGTTCGTACAAAAAATTTTGTTAATCTACTAAAACCAACCATAATTGGATTCGCGCGGATTATATTACGATTGAACTATAAATAAAAACCAAATTTAATATTCATTTAATACATGGTATATTTTTTTCTAATACATTGACACGGATTTAAAACTTTATTATATAACAATCTGTAATAAACATTTCTTTACCGTATTTATTGGTTTAATTACAACTTGTTACTAACTTGTCCAAACAAATTATTATTATTACAATTTATGATATTTCATATAAATTTATAAAAAGAAAATAAAAAAAAATATTGTAACAAAAAATTCAAAATTTTCAAAAATAATATTTTATCAAAAAATAGTTGAAAATTTATTAATTTTATTGTTTAAAAAAAAACAAAGTATATTGAATATTAATTATCTTGATAAATTCATTAATCTTATATTATTGTTATTATTTAAAGTTCTTAATAGTACTATTTTGATATCAAATTAATACTAAATTATTAAGAGTTTATTATAATGGATCACAACCTATATATTAAATTTATTATAAGTTGATACTATTTTGATATTGGTTCAAAACCCTATTATTGTTATTTTAATTATTAATATTTTTATTGATATCATTATTACTTTTATTAATAAAAAGTAGCTTGTCGTGCAACTATCTAAACAATATATTAGTTTTAAATTTTCTTTTCTAATATAGTTTAGATAGATATCATTGGTAA